AAACGACGGCGGGCGTCATATTTTTGCGGCGATAATCGCACGACGCGACGAACGAAACAATAGCAATCGCCCGCAGCGCGATAAAGCCGACGATGCCACGCGTGCATTCGCGCCAACGCGCGTGCTGCAGTTGCAGCGACGAATATTGCAGCTGCAATTTTCACTAAATCACCTTTCGTACAAAGCCCATCGATGCGAGGTATATCTTCGTTAATATTGAATTACTATCTGTTATTTTATGCCACTCGAATGTGTTGAAAGCGACAAATTTTCATCGCCAAACTCCACTATAAGCTTCTCATCTTTTATTTATTAAGAGTGACTTTATAAGCATCCAGTTGTCTGTACAAATTTCATATGTGCGAGATATATCTACTCGATAATTGTGATTAAAAAAAAAACGTAAAAATAAAATTTTAGAAATTTTTCACGGTAAAAAACATTTTGTATTTCTGGTAAAATTTTCTCGTGTAAAAACTTTTGTGTTAAATTTTCAACATACTCTTATGTTAATGTAACATATTATCATTGCGTTGTTTTGACATTTCTGCGTTCAATTAATATTCACCGTTTCTAAGAGTTAAAACAACACAATTAATATGTAAATGCACGAATTTTTGATGAAATATGTTATATGTTAAAATAAACAGATAAGTTGTGTTATTTTTCTCTCTATAACAGTTTCCATATGTTAAATCGACATATCTTTTCTGTTATTTATCATAAAAATGTGAGAATAACGTTTTCTTTTAATTAAATTTAACATTATAAATATGTTAATTTAACAAACTTTATTTCCGGATAAGTGTTACACTTTTGTGTTAATTTTTAAACATATTACTTGTGTTATTTATTTACGTACTTGCCTTCTGTTAAACTAACATTAAAAAAATTAGAGTGACTAAATTGGGATATGTGAAATATGTTTAACACAAAATTTTTTACTGTGCTCTCTCTTCTCTTTCTCGTAACCTTTTCCTCGATGTTTGAATTGAAGAAAAGATTCCCATGTGACTCGCATAATTTGCGCGCTAGTTGCGTCCCTGCCCAGTAGTTACGGCCGGTGCTCGTCAGCCGAAATTCCGGCCTTTATTCGACGAGCTCGTCGGCTCGAAACGAGCCGACTCGTCGGTGACGCCTACATACACTACGTGTACTATCGCCGCTGTCGTTCAAAGCACGCGTCCGCGGATACAATATAGGACTGTCCGTCACGACGGAAAATCGCGTATTCGAGGGAGAGAACGCGTGTATCGACACGACACGACACGAGACGACGCTTCGCGTCCCGTGGTGTCCCTCTCGTTTCACGGGACGCCGCGTCGAGTCGATCCGACCTGCCAATCCTGCCGTCATCCTCGCTGAGAGAACCGAATACGAACGCGTCTCTAGCGGCTTTTTTCCCGATCCCGCGCACTGCTACTTGTATTGTGCACCGAAATAATACATGAGGGAGATGGCTGGATATACGTTTTTATCCGTCTTATCCGACACAGCGCTTGTCACGCGCATCATATTTAGCGACATCAGTGACACGTCGCTGAATCTCTCCTCGAGACGCGAAAAATTCTCGAGTATATTCTCGAGTGTATTTACGAGAGAAAGAATACGCGAAGAAAAGATGAGCGAATGACATTTAAAAGGCTCTAAAAGAACTATTCGTCTGTCAAAATAAATATAAGCACAGCTTATTAATTTATCTTTATTAAATTAATTCTCCAAAAATGATTTCAATTTGAAACTCGAATTTTTTTCGAATAAAAAGCCTCGATATTTGCGGATTTAAGGCGTAAGAATACACGGCGCTATTTTTATATACAGCAAAGGTGAATGAAGACAATTATTTTGAAACCGCGAAATAACTTCCGAGAACGACAGAGACGCGTTCTGAATGGCTGTCCACCACAATAAGAGACTAGCGCGGCCTCGCTAATTCATGCTAATTTCGAAAACTTTTTGCATCGTTTAATTCAATTAGTTCCGCTCTTTGAATGTGGCAATTAGCATATTAACTTGACTATGCGAACCTCCCGGTGCCGAGCCGCGCTCGCCCAAGCAAAGTCGCGACTTTTCCACTTCTATCCCTTTACCGGATGATGCCTCGCGCTCATTATCCGAACCTGTTTCGAACGTTATTATGATGCAAATTGAAAGCTAACATTTTTGCTCGCGACGAAAATATGGCAAAAGTAACGAGACGCCTCGCAAATCCGTATTCGAAATTCAATTTGAAACCGCGTCCGCATAAATTTGAATAATTAAATCGGCATATTTCGAGGATGGACGTCACCTTTAATCCAATTAATCTTTCTCCATCGCCAAAAAGGGTCGCGGTATCGATTTAGGATGAAACAAGTTGCATAATTAGAAATTGAGCATCTTAATAGATATGATGAGACAAACGAATTAGTGTTCGCTGATTAAAACGACAATTTTAATTATATTACAAATTTTATTATGCTTCAAATTGCCTCTGCGAGCTCGACAACAAAAACAAATTTCGGGAGAACCACCACTTACCGGTCAATTAAGCAAAACCGATTCCCCAGAGTCAAAAGAATTTATGTGGCGAGATCGATGTAACCGAGGGTCGGTTGGCAAAAGTTAGCGAACTAAAGCTCTCTGGTTGCGTTCATCATCAAAAACGGAGCGGACGTAATATAACTGATCGCTTCTACCTCTTACGAGGCGAGTTCTCCTTCAAGGCCATCGGCACGGTTCGGAAACCTTCCATGGCTATCCGAATGAATAATGCGCCTGCCTTTGTGCATCTGTCGGAAAACATTACGAGGCGCCTCGTTAATAAGTCGCGCGATATAAAATTAACGAAACGAATTCTGCGGACGTTTAAAGCGATAATTAATGTAGAGTGAGCAAAATGAGAGCGAGGCTATCTCGGGACATTAATCGAACGTTGATTATTCCGCATCTGATCACGAGAAACATCTAGTAGAAATCTATCGCGAAAAAAGGACAGAGAAATTTCTAAACAAATATCTTTAGAAATATGTGCAAAATTTCATGAAATAAAGATATATTAATTACTTATTAATTACTCAAATTGAATTAAACCTGAATTGGATTATACCTGATACGGTGGTTGGCCATTCTTAATTAATCTAATTAAGATATAAATTAATATTAATTAAGATATTAAGAAATAAAAATCAAAATTGAGATTATATTAAATTAAGAGTAAAATTAGATTAAATTAAAATTTGGTTTTTTAATTAATGAGATCAGTGTAGAAACATAATTACGTGGTAAAAACTGTGGCTATTCTACGGTAAAGTATACCTGGATTTTAAATATATAGATCAGTGTTCTTATCTTAAAAAAAGGATGTAATATCCCAAGATAAAAGCTGTTACAACAAGCTGTTATATATGTGACTGACCTAACTTGGGTTATCCGAGAAGATCATTAATCGAAGCAATTTTCCAAAGACTTATCCAATGTTATCGCGAGGAGACACTTTCTTGGCGAAAAAAAGGCATAAAATTTTCTAGCAATTATTCAGTTTTAAATTTTAATGCAAAATACATATTGAAAAACATATTGTTAACATTTAATTTAAATCAAATTCAACCGGAATCTGATCATGTCTGATAAGTTTGCAAAACAATATTTTCATTCGATCAAAACTTTGTTGTAAAGTTATAAAAGTCGAGCAAATTGAACTGCGAATAAAATTGTTACGTGTAATGACTTTTTAGGGATGCATTCATTTCGAACGCAAAATTGCATTTTGCAGCGATTGAACCGGAGAGCACGAGGCTTTATATGCGATAAAATACGGCGTAAGTTAACTTTGCGTGAATTTGTTTAGTGCGTTCGCAAATAAAATTTGTTTCGCTGATTCGTGAACCGTTTAAAATTCAGCGTATAAATTACTCCTCGTTATTATTTTATAATGAAAATGTTTAATGAAGAAATTAAAAAGAGTATCGGTTATTTTTTTCTGCACGATCGATCGAAATTTATTCGATAAAAATTCTATCGCAGCATTTCAATTCGAATTCAATTCCCGTGAATAAACCGTCGCAGTTCGCGTAAACGTTTTTGATTGAAAAGAAGCTCGATTAAACGCACGCAAATGCAATTGCACGTAGCGACATCGCCAAAGGGGTTTAATATCTGACGTACCTTATAAAATCGCCCTTCGTGCGCAAGAAGAGGGTCGAATAAATTTCATTAATTCGTTAGATTTACCGTCGTCGCCGTCGTTGTTAACGTTACGCAACACGCGAAACAGCGTTAATTTCGGAGTAATCGCCGTATTCGCGCGTGCGACGAATAATGCTCTCTTCTTTTCACTCTAACAAGAGAGAGAGAGAGAGAGAGAGAGAGAGAGAGAGAGAGAGAGAGAGAGAGAGAGAGAGAGAAGGAGAGGAAGGGAGGGAGGGTGAGAGAAGGCGCGATCCAATTTACTATGGAAATCCTACGGTCGCCCCTTTCCCTATCGAGAAAATCAATTACGTCGAATGAATACAACATGAAGGGCATAAAGGGTTAGCCGCGAGTCTCCGCGAACGGTAAGCGGAGCGTTTGAATGACACGAGATCGAACAACGCGAGATTGGATGCGAGGAAGGAATTTCGAGAGTCGCAGACTGGACAGATTTGATTTGTCAGGACGCGGGAATCATCGCTGACAAATCTCGTTACGACGCTCGACTCGACGCTCGTGATTAGGGTCCGAAAAGTTTTCATCTCGCGCATTCGAGGAGGTCATAAGAACCCTTTGATATTCACTTGACAAAGGAGAGTCTTATAAAGTTCGCAAATAATTAACACGAAAATTATACAAGTATATCAAAGTTAAATGAAATGCACTAATAATTTAAATCTGTAGAAACACATTTAAATAATATATATAATTATTATTATTGTAAATTGTTCCTTGGATTTTATCGCAATTGACTCTATGCTCTTTCTGTCAAAATATCGTTATCAGAAGGATAATAAAAAATATGTATTTTTAATCATCGTTGCCCTTACCTTGGCGGGATCCGACTTCTCCTCCGGCTGCTCGTTGAAAGTTTGCGAAGCTCTGGACATGGTGTTTCTCCGGGGTGTCGTCGTGCCATCTTGCGAGGGGCGTACAAACTCGATTCTGCCACCCTCGACGACGATATTGGGGGCTGGTGGAAAATTCTCCGTGTTACCGACCGTATCGCAGTAACCCAAAAGCCCAGCCTTTTCCCCGTACAAGGGGTGGATTTGTCTGCAACAGAGGGTAAAAGCTCGATTGAAGAACGCTTCAATAGCAGCAGATGGTGTTTCGTCCTAGATGATCATTGATCTTTTAAAATAATACTAATTTTTCTTATTTTTATATCTAAAAATTCATTATACAATAATAATTATAATTTAAATGTGATATCAAACATTATTATTTAAAGTTAAATTTGTATCATTTATTTGGTTCCTTCCAAATTTTTAACTTGAGCTTTAATTATCAATCTTATTCTCTAACATCTTACATATTATTTCTAATTTAATATTGTATTATTAAATATATAATATTACAATATTAAATTGAGGATAATATGTGTAATAATTATTGTATAGTTATATAATATTTAATTTTTTAAATTGCACATTTCATTATACATAAAATATTGGTATAAATATATTATTCTATCGCAATATATATGTTCGATACTAACTCTTTATGTGAATAAGAATGCTTTATTTAATGCTGTATTTAATTACATTTCGCAATTAATTCAATAGCGGGCAATAGAGAGCCGTATCGACACGCATACATTCCAGCACGAATCTTATTTGCAAGCGGAAGAGACTGACCGACTTTAAGTCTACTGACAAAGACTATTCCCTCCACGATTCTCTTCGTAGTGTAGCATGACGATCGAGCAAACGTGTGCAGACGCTGTGACCGATATTGCATGGACAGATGCATTTGCGTATCAATGTCAATAATCTCGCCGAGGAGCGGCGTCGCGCGATAGGATTACAGAGTAGGAACCGCTCCACTTTCGACGATTATTCTCTCACGAACCTTTTAAATCCACCTAGCCTTAAGTCTGTTTGCGCGGCGCGTATGCAAATGCGTTGGTACCTATGCAAATGCCTCCCGTCTCTTTCTCTCCGTGCTATTTTTGTCGCGCGCCGGCAAAAAATGCAAAATCGATAAAGAAGTGGAAATGTATCGGTGTTTATAAACAAAACTGTAAAGTCTGAGAGAAAGAACGAGAGGACATTCGAATATTATCGTCTGATTAGATATCTTTAATAGTTTTAAATTTTAAAAAACGCTGTTGTAATCAATTGCAATTTTTGGAAGGGAAAAAATATTTGTATTAATGTAATCGAAAATAACAATAAGAACATTAAAAGAATATATTACGTTTAGGTCAATAAATATGTTTAGGTCAATTGTTATTATTGTAACAATATCGTAATTGCTTTTTTAAATTACTTACAATTTTTATATCAATTGGTATATTCGTAATTAAAGAATCGTATTATTAAAATATCAATTGACTTACCGGGGAGAAGGTATGGGGCGAGGCTTGTCAAGCGCCAGATCCGAGCTGAGGGGTGAGTCGGGTCCGCGGCCGCTGGAAGCCCTAAAGAACAAACGAAATTATCGTTAGTCAAGTTCCAAAGGCACCAATGATCTATCTTATTGTAAGATTATTTTATGTCCAGCATCAGAAGGACAGTTCAATGTCCTTCAGAAATTAATTAATCGATAACAATGCAGCAGATATTTTTCAAATTTATTCTTCTGCAACAGAGTTCGATAAATGTGCCGACATAAATATAATAATCAAGTGCAATTTCTTGAAAACTTTTTTTACTAAAAAATCTCTAAGATAGTTAACGCATATTCACAAATATATCTTAATTATTATATAATTCAAGAATACAAAATTATTTATACTATAATTCAAGAATACAAAAACAATCTATTTAAAGAACGAGTTAAAATTTTTGACGGTACATTTTTCCACGTTTCTAACACAATTTTCTCTTATAATTATAGAAATAATAAAAGCACCATTCGATGTTTACAGATTAGAGATCTCCCCTTTATGACCATCCGGAGAAACACCATCCATATTCCTTGCACTTTCCATTTCGATCTACAACGTAATCACGACTTTGCGATTGAAAGGCGATTTAACATTCGCGCGCGTGGATTTACGGCGGCCGATAAACGATTAAAGAGAGAATCATTAGAGGGACTAGCGCATAAATATCGCCCGGAGATGCGGCAGTCACGATCGAGGTGCGCTTTCGCGCGCAAATCCAAGAAACTGCGCCTTCCCAGCGAATATCACGCTCGTCAAACACTCGCGATGAAGAGCACGAGGCTCGGCGAAATGTCGCTCCGTGCGTTGCACAAGAGCGGCAATTTCATTTGTGCATTACGACTTCGATATTCATATTTCATCGAGTCTGACCGCTTGATATCGACCGGTAATTCTGGCAGCGCCAGACAAACTAGCCAGAGTCAGACGAATAATTCATAATCGCGAAATTTAACGGAATAATAATTCGATATATCGAATAAATATTACGGAACGCTAAAAGTGCGTCCTGCAGCTGCAACGAATAAAATTAAATACCGCATGCGAATAAAACTAGATAAAGAATTAAAAAATTTGAAAGCGAAATTTCTGTATTTTTCAATTTTCTATGTATATATAAAACTGCTTATTCAATATAACTATTACATTATAAAATAGATTTATATTGAATAAAATAAGCTACAAGTAGATTATTTTATGCATACATTTTAGATGCGATAAAAAAACACAACTTTGCTTATTCAATATAACTATTATATTATAAAATAGATAATAGATTTATATTGAATAAAATAAGCTATTGACTATTTTATGCATAAATTTTAGATGCGATAAAAAACACAACTGCTTATTCAATATAATTACATTATAAAATAGATAACAGATTTATATTGAATAAAATAAGCTATTGACTATTTTATGCATAAATTTTAGATGCGATAAAAAACACAATGCGTTTCTCGCAACAGATGATCGTGAGAGAGATCACTGACGAGTGCAACATTATATCGAGATGCGTCGCGACGAGAAACGTCACCGCGCAACCTCGATCCGCGACCATGTTTTGCTCTCTTCCCGCGATCTCTCACTTCCGCTCGCAAATCCTCTCTCGGACCGCCGCATTTGGAGCTCTTGGCAGCCGCTCAGACGTTCGCGATGAAATATCTAGCACGGGTGACTTTGATCTTTCACGGCGCGCGCTCGAAACGATGTGGACGCGCGGACGAACTCGTATACGTACGTACATGCGTGCGTGCGTGTTTACGCCCGCCCGCGAATGCGTGCGCATAACGCTCTGGGAACCAGGAAGTCCCGATGCGTGAGATGTCTCAATACCGGGTGTCGAGTGTCACGCGAATTCGCGAGGATAATTTCCTTGACATGGAATAAATTGAAGAATTTGCGTGCAAATATATTAAAATTGTCAAAAAACAAATAGTAAATTTTCAAATAAATCAAAAGTTATGTTATCGTTATTATTAACGTTTAGGAAAGATTAGAAAAAAAATATTTTCCTAATTTTTCAAATGGATATCGTACATATCTCAAGCATCGAATATATCATATACAATTCATTTGAAAAATCTCACACAGCGAGAAAAAAAAGTTGTTAACTTGATCAAACCATTCAATTAAATTATTATTTTTTCAATTGAAATATTAAAACATTTAAGTTAAATTGATGTCATGTTAGATTTAATATGTATTATTTAAATAGTTAAATATTTCAATTAAAAGAATAATAATTCAGTTGAACGGTTCAGTTAACCATTTTTTCAGTGCACACCTTTGCAACAAATATTTTCTAACTGAATTCAATTGAAACGAAGGCTGCGTGGAAGAGAGTCAACTGATTCGCTTCGATCGCACACCCGGTATAAGCATCGAACGCACGCATATCCGTCGCGCGACAGCTGCGTCCATATGGAAGCGCGGCGAAATCTCGCTGACCCTCTTCTTCCTCGCATTCTCACGCGGAATGACACAGGGAGGGGCGAAGGAAGGGGGAGGAGGAGCGAGTGAATCACCCTCGCTGAAATTCTAAAAGCGCTCGTTTCCCAAAAGTCTATTACGGAGCACTTAGAATCATGCGCCAGATCCTCTCGACCGCGCTTCTGCGGTGATCGTTGCACCCGGTACACGTTGGCAAGCTACCTAAAAGTGCGTCGCTCGTGATTTACCGATTTGTTGACGTTCGATGGAATCCTCTTTTCTTTCGAGGAGACTGAGCGAAAGAGAGCGATGCAAGAGCCCGGCGATTAATTTTCCTTTTTGTGCTTCAAGCGATAAGTAATAATTCCTTGCATTTCGATATCTAAATCATCTCATTTTTTCTCGCTGTCCCTTCTTACATTTTTAACATTCCAAGATGCTGAGAAGCGAGCATTTTTCAGATTCATTTTAAGCAATTTTATCGGAGCAAAAAGTAGGAGGAACTTCCTTTTCATATTATTTCTCTAAAGGTGCTAGTTGCATTTGCAACAACATAAAGTTTCGCTAGAAAAATATTTTTTTCTAAAAGATCCAATAAAACACGTAATACGGCACGCAAAAGCGGAAAAATGCTGTTTTCGCGTTAATATACTTGACGCATCGCAAGGGAAAAAAGAGAGAAAAATTCCAACATTTTGAAATCTTTTCGCAAATGTTTCCCGATCTCTTCTCTCGTAGTAAAAGCCGCGCGAATGCATCTGAGAGGCAACTCTGCGCGAAACGTGCAACGGCACTTAGCCACGCCGTTTATCCTCTTTTTTAGCGACGCCCTTCGCTCTTTTATAACCTCGCGCAATTGTTGGATCGTTAAGTCGTAACTAAAATAAAAAGAAACAGAGAGGAGGAAAGAGAAGAATGCCCCGAAAATTTACGGAGGAGTCGAGCAATCTGGAATTCGCGAATTAAGTTCGTGAATTCCAAATACAACTCGACAACACTTCGTCCACGTCATCGAGCACGAAAGTGTCCCTCGTGCTCGAGAAACCTAATTTGTCGAGCGGGAATCGCTTTTACGTGCGTGTCGTAAAAATTGCAACGTAACGTCTCCCGTCGACGTCGGGAAACGCGATGACCGAGAGCGAGTTATTTCGCGTTCGCCGCGCCTGACATTCTGCAACGGGAGTAAAAACGACGGAAGAGGCGGACGCCTTTGAAGAGCTGACGGAAAAATAAGATTACCGCCGGCAAAAATGCTGGCTGTATAACGACGGTATCGCACAGTCGCTGCGTTTTCGTTTGCAAAAAACCTGCGGCTCGACGCGACGATTTGAGGATAATCATAATTACATCGAAACGAGTTGCTTATCCAGCTCATTTACCGCGTACGTATGTTATAAAATTTTACGTCAATGCAAGAATCGATTAAACACAAAAATATTTAAGTTTTAATATTTCATTTTTAATATTTCATATTTTAATTTTTAACATTTAATTTTTAATTTTTAAGAAATGTACAAAAAGGAGAGAGAGGTAGAGAGCTTTTAAAGTGAAATTAAATATCTTGTAAACAAAAAGAATTTCCTTTTTGTTGCGTGTAACAAAGTATATTTCTAAAGAGAGAAAACTTAAAGGGAATCTCTCCTTTAAGCGATCATTACCGTCGACAAACCAGGGAGACCAATTCTTTATCGCGACTCGATTTTAGGAGCTCGATTGTAAATTTTCGACTCGGATGACAAAGCAAGCGCGATTTACCGGAGGAATCGTAGCTCCTTCCTCTATTCGCGCAACGTAATCCGCTAGTAACCGAGGAACAGCGAGTGTCCGCAGCCGGTAACGGTACACCCATCGCGCGAATATTCCTCGAACGATGCCGGTGTCGGATGTGCACGTGCATTAGCGGAGTCCCCTACGTCTTCGCGATGTAACACTATATTCCTCTCCGCGCGCGACAGAAAGAGGGAGTGAGAGGAATACAAGCAGAGTCGAGACGCGCCGTTGCAGCTCGTGCAACTCGCTCGTGCACTAACGAGAACGCCGGAAGGACTCGCGATACGTACGTCTCAGCACGTGAGTTACGTTACCGTGTCTTTGCGAGAGGAGTATATTGTTGATTTGAAAGCAGGAAAACGTCGTTAAAATTATTTCTCTGTCCCTCTCGTAGTCTTCTTGGCGTTTCAAAGGATCATAAGTTTTTCAAATTAAATATCTCTTACAAAGAATTTGTCTTCTCTCTCGCATGTAACAAGATGTGATAAAAATATGTTTCTAAGAAGGCATATAAAAATATACTTTTAACGAAAGAACTTAAAGATAGGTTCCTTAAGCAATGATTATCATCGAGAAATCAACGAGAATTCTTTATCGCGATTATAAGATTAATTTTTGATCGATCTTAAGATCGATTAAATTATATCTATCTAAATAAAAATTATCTAAAATTCTGTAATAATTTATAATATCGAGAAATTTATAATAAACTAATGGACTTTTCGATGCGATTTATTTCTTTATATAATCAAGAAATTATCGACGAATATTAATATTGCGAAGAGGAAAGTAATTCTTTGCAAAAGTATGCACATCAAAACTCGTTACAA